CACCTAGATATCTGTCTCTAATCAAGTATTTATATGACCATGGTTATATATACCGAAAACAGCTATACTTTCTATTTCTAGATTCTGTAGTGGTATGTCCATACGAAACTACACCCTCATGCTCACCTAGATATTTGTCTCTAATCAAGTATTTATATGACCATGGTTATATATATATATATCGAAAATCGGTATACTTTCTATTTCTAGATTCTGTACTGGTATCTCCATACTAAACTACACCCTCATGCTCACCTAGATATTTGTCTCTAATCAAGTATTTATATGACCATGGTTATATATATATATATCGAAAATCTGTATACTTTCTATTTCTAGATTCTGTAGTGGTATGCCCAATACTAAACTACACCCTCATGCTCACTTAGATATATATCTCTAATCAGGTTTTTGTATGACCATGGCTATGTATACCGAAAACCGGTATACTTTCTATTTCTAGATTCTGTAGTGGTATGTCCACACTAAACTACACCCTCATTCATGCTCACCTAGATATTTGTCTCTAATCAAGTATTTATATGACCATGGTTATATATACCGAAAATCGGTATACTTTCTATTACAAGATTCTGTAGTGGTATGTGCATACTACACTGGTCCCCCTCATGTTCCCCGAGATATTTGTCTGTAATAAATTTTTATACGACCATGGTTATATATACCGAATACCGGTATACTTTCTATTTCTAGATTCTGTAGTGGTATGTCTATACTAAACTACACCCTCATCCTCACCTAGATATTTATCTCTAATCAAGTATTTATATAACCATGGTCATATATACCAGTTTTCGCTATATATAACCATGGTCATAGAAAAATCTGATTAGAGACATATATCTAGATGAGCGTAAGTGTGTGGTTTAGTACGTATGCCCATACCACTACAGAATCTAGAAATAGAAAGTATCCGGTTTTTGGTATATATAACCATGGTCATACAAATACTCGATTAAAGACATATCAGTATCTAGGTGAGCATGAGGGTGTGGTTTAGTATGCACATACCACTACAGAATCTAGAAATAAAAAGTATACCGGTTTTCGGTATATATAACCATGGTCATATAAATTATCGATTAGAGACATATTAGTATTTAGGTGAGCATGAGGGTGTTGTTTAGTATGCACATACCACTACAGAATCTAGAAATAGAAAGTATACCGGTTTTCGGTATGTATAACCATGGTCATATAAAAACTTGATTAGAGACAAATATCTAGGTTAGGATGAGGGTGTAGTTTAGTATGCACATACCACTACAGAATCTAGAAATAGAAAGTATACCGGTTTTCGGTATGTATAACCATGGTCCTATAAAAACTTGATTAGAGACAAATATCTCGGTGAGCATGAGGGTGTAGTTTAGTATGGGCATAACACTACAGAATCTAGAAATAGAAAGTATACCGGTTTTCGGTATGTATAAGCTTGGTCATATAAAAACTTGATTAGAGACAAATATCTAGGTGAGGATGAGGGTGTAGTTTAGTATGGGCATACCACTACGGAATCTAGAAATAGAAAGTATACCGGTTTTCGGTATATATAACCATGATCGTATAAAAATTTATTACAGGCAAATATCTCGCTGAGCATGACGGTGTAGTTTAGTGCCCTCTGTTGCCAAATTCACACACCTGAAGGCGTGTTTTTTTTACACAGGTTAAAGTGTGTATTTTCCGAAAAAGGTAGGTATTTTTACACACCTAAAGGTGTGTATTTGCAAGATAAAGGGGTTTTTTTTCCGTTTTTTGCCTGTCGCCAAATTCACACAAAAAGGTGTGCATTCAAAAAGGTGTGCATTTTTACACACCATAAGCTGTGTATTTTGCCCTGGATCTCTGGCGAACAAATTACACACCTAAAGGCGTGCTTTTCTGCACACCTTGCAAGGTGTGGAAAATAACACGCCTCTTCGGGAAACTTCCAGCCACCCTCGGTGCGTCCAATCCCGGACTCACCTCCCTGCAAGTACGTTTGTTATAGAATTCTACAGTTTGGAACCAAAACGGTTTTCTCGTTTGTGTTGATGGCTAATAAATATTAAAAACAAAATTTGAAACATGAAACGAATATTGTTATCAGGATTTAGGGCATATCACTCGATAGAACTAAGTGTTGAAGGTTTTTTATAGATGAAATTTCGAGAATCAGGCAATTAAGCCATGCGAGCTAAAGATTCTTGTTGTCGAGCCCTAGCTGCAAGGTCATTAGCCACAGGTCCATTCCTGCCAGAGCCTGGCCCATAGTTGCACTTTTTGCAACTGCTCCTGGATAAACATATAAAAATTATACTCAAAATTTGCATGTACCAAAGTACAGCTTAGAGCACTGCACTGGAATCGCATTCACAGGGCCACATGTCTGATTCCTAGAGGGCCTACAGTTTTGCAACTGCTCGTGGTTAGGTCTACTAAATGTATAAAATGTACACTCAACATTTCCATCTACAAAAACCTGCAATAATCCATTAATTTTATAACCTGTTAAGTAAGTAAGTGAGTAATTGGGGGTGTACTAGGAATGGAGTTAGGATCTAATCATCCTTACTTGCATGTACTAGGTACTAATCATGCTTACTTGCAGCTGAGAGCTGAGCTGAATTGCGAAGGACGCAGCTCAACCTGATCGAGTCAAAGGCTCACTAAGGGCACTCTGGCAGCCACCTTATGACTGATGTCTGGTCATGGTGCACAGGTATGGTGGAAGTGTCAGTTAGGGGGTAATCCCAACTCACTCTGTCAACATTCCCTGTGGTAGGAAACCAGACGTTTGGTAGAGTGTTGACTAACTCTTTTCACATAAGTGTCTTTAGTCCAATGTGAGGATTGAACCCACAATCTCAGAGGTGAATAATGCTTGCTCTGACGATTGCACCACCAAAGCCCCTAAGCAGTGAACTTTATACAGATTTGGGGTTTCATACTGCAGGGGCTAATAAAAGGGAAGCATTTATATATAGGGAATTCTCTTATATTGTAGCAACTAAATCCCCCCCCCCTGAACCACTACACTACAAATAACATAACAAAGTGTACAAGCTTTCTAGCTAGGGATGGATTGATGCGGGCGGCACACATGACTGACACAACTCGGCACCAGAGCATGCAGAGGACCCCCATTCTTGAGGTAGAACAAGGAATAATATCATTAATTTAATTAATCACGATGAGTTACAACGGCAGCTAACACATGTCAACACTGGACCTGGAATTATGCCGTAATAATTTGTTTACTTAACTATTTTGATTCTTAATTTCAAAGATATCTAAGATTTCAGTTTGATAATCAGTGTATTGGTTTCAGTTATTTGTCAAACCAGTTCAGCCTACATCGATCTGACCTGACAAAAGACAATACGCATCTAACTACATAGAAGTGATAGAATTACATATGATATTACTTACAGATTTTACTTGATTATAATTATGTGAAGTTCAGCTAACAGCTAAAAACAAAAATAGAAACAAAACTATTGAATAAGGTTTCCTGGACAAATTTTTGAGAGAGGAAAAATTTCTGAAAATCATTGCAAAAAATGCAACTACAGTATTAGTGTGCAATCCAAAGTGCAGCACTTTTACAATCACGTCCCACATGCCAATTAAGTGCTAACCTCCAGAACAATACTGAAAACATTTATTTTTAAAGCATATATAATTTAATATATCATATCTGTACAGGATTTTGTTTATGTAAACAGTTTCCTGGGACCAGCTGTCCAAAGCTGGATTAGCGCTAATCTTTGGTTAAAATTTAACCTGCTGTACGTCACCGCTGTTTTAGTTTTTCTATTTCAAAACTTCAAAGAAGAAAACTCCTATACTGATCCAGACAAGATTTCTAAAGAAATATTTCCAAATTTATAAACAAGCTGTCAGGAAGTTTGCTTTGAATTTTAGGTTAACTTAGGGTTAAGTTAATCCAGCTTTGAAAACTGGCCTCTGATGAGTATTTGGTGTATTAACATCATCAAGAGTGCAATGCAATATTGGATGTCAGTAATTTGGTAAAAAGCAATTTCTAGGGAAAGTACTTAGATGAAGAAAACTTCCGTTAGTAGGAATGCAACTATTTGAAAAATATAAGGAGAAACTCAACGTTTTGAGCGAAGGCCATTTGTCACCTTCGACTAACTGCGCGCCAACGAAGGGCATTCGCATGAAACGTTGAGTTTCTTCAAATATTTTTCAGGTAATTACATTCTTACCAACGAAAATTACTTTGTCTATATTAATTGACACTACCTACACTGCACAGACAGTCAAATATTGAGTCTGATGAATTATCCGATGAGTATTAAAAAGTAAAAAATTGGCAGAGGAAACATGTTTTGGGGCTAGTAGGCAGACTCCTGGGCACAAGGCAATTAGTTTTAGCTTATTGGTTAAAAATATTGGTCAATAGTATAGCCATGGAATAGTGCTATAATAGTAGTAACGGTCCCCTGCCCTGGATTCCAGAGCCTTCGACAGTAAATAATAAATTGCAACGTCGCGAAGGCTCCGGGTTCAACGGGGAGATTCTTTCATTAAACCGCGCCAATCACAAAACAGAATTAGTGGTTTTAGTGCAGATTGAAACGTCGCGAAGGCTCTGGTTCAACAGGGAAATTCTTTGATTAAACCGTGCCAATCACAAAAACAGAATTAGTGGTTTTAGTACAGATTCTGCACTAAAACCACGAATTCTGTTTTGTGATTGGCGAGGCTTAATCAAAGAATCGCCCCGTTGAACCAGAGCCTTCGCGACATTTCAATTTATTATTTACTGTCGAAGGCTCTGGAATCCTGGGTATAGTAACGGCAAATGATAAATAATTAGATGATTTATATCATAGTTATATGTAGAGATAGAGGCTATTTAGTTTATTTTTGCCTTTAAAAAAATACAAACATTGGCAATGGGTTGGGAAAAGTATTTGCAAATGTCTGATGTAAACTCAATTGGGTTTAGTTAGGTCAAAATGCATCTATGTCTTGCACTAAGAAATACAATAACATACTCAGTTCACACAAACAAATGGTATCCCTATCCCTTCAAAGCAAGTTACAGTACTAAGGGGGTGGTCTTTATTTATGGGGAGGAGGAGGGGGGGGGGATTAGGAAATGGGGAGGGGGGGGGCAAACGAAGTTTTACCCTTATAAAGGGGGGTCAAAAAAGTTTTAACACAGAGAAAGGGGGGGGGTCATAAAAGTTTTTGAACTTAAATACCATGTCTAGAGTTCTGATTTCTATAATCACAAATAGCAAAAAAGAAGACTCTGAAAATGCTATTTCCAACGATCTAGAGACTCAAAATTTTCAAAATTTCCCTGCTCGGCGCCAACCATGGTAGCGCCTCGCGATCGTGGGAGTCGGGCCCACTAAGTTTAACAAGCTTTCTACCCCCTGAGTGACCCAGTTGTGGTATTTACATAAACATACCATGCAAATACACTTAACTGATCAGATTTGGTCTATCAACGCACAATGTAACGCTGTATATCCAAAAATCTGTTTCAGAAAATGCTCACATTTCAGTTCTAGGGGTGGAAAAATACAAAAAATTTTCTGGGGGAGAATACCCCCAGACCCCCCTACTAGTACATACGATACCACACCAAACTTTTTGTCACCAACAACCATCTGTCATCTCTCCACACTCAATATAGTATGGTCCCTTTTTGTAGATGCCCACCCCCCAGACAAGTTCTTAAAAAAACCCTGTGTTCAAATCATTTCGCTGTATGAAGACGGGTTATGGGTTAGGGTTATGGTAGGACAAATGTTGCATTGCAAAGTAGTAACACATAATATATATTTTTTAATCATATATGGTTGAATCATATTCACCAGGGTAAAACATCATGAGCTAGATTAAACAGATTGTCCTAATATCTAACTTTACCTGCAACACACACCTGTTTCATTGCTGTTAATTTTTCAATCCACGCTGGGGGGGGGGTCAGAAAAGTTTCTACTTTTATGAGGGGGGAGGCACAAAAAGTTTGCCTTCAGTCTGGGGGGGGGTCAAAAAAGTTTTCAATTCTTCTTTTCCCCATTTCCCACCCCCCCTCCCCATAAATAATGACCACTCCCTAATCTCTATAAAAGTAGGTGTTCAAGGTTCATGTAAAATATATTCATTCATTAATTTGCAACTCTCTGTGTAGATTTTACTTTGTCTGGTATCAGGCAAAGTAAAATATTAAAGTATGGTGCATTTGTCCATTAGCATGAGCCCAGCTAGGCAGAATGAGATGTATGCCAGACAAAAACATCAGCAACCAATATTACATTGGTGGGAAAACTTTACTTGTTTACAAGCTATAAATAGCTGAAGGTTTTCAACAAAGTCAAATTCATGCTTTATTTATTTGACACATTTTTAATTTAAAATTATTGCATCAGCAAGATTAACTAAAATAAAATTTTGTTAATATATATTTTGTTAATATAAATTACAGTAGTCACTGTACCTGTCTCTGCAAGTTAAAAATATCCTGAGAAACACAGGATTCTTTCTGTTCATTATCATCATTTAGGTCCTATAAAACAAATTCATGAAAGTTTTTGTTGTTGCAATAGTATCATAATTATAACTACAGCACCATTTCTTATTTAGAATACACTTACAGTACTTGTCAAAGCAAAATTTATATGTGGATATATGGGTGTCGTAAGCATACAAGACGGGGCTGGGGCTGCAGACCCCAAGACTTGATGAATCGTCAATTTTTTTAAGGAAATTTGGGCAATATACTTGTATCTCTTTTTTCTGGCACAGACTTCAGACAATGAGACTACAGTATACATATGCTATTATCCTATGCTATTGGCACAACCAGGGGCGAAATTGGCACAACCAGGGGCTGTTTAGTTGAGGGGGGGGAGGGGTGTTTGGCATAATTGTCCTGCAAAAATCTATTATGCCTGCAATTTTGTTGCCTTGCAAGATCCTTAATTGCCCTGCCAATCGGAGTAATTCATATATTAGGGGGGGGAGGGTGAAATCAATAATTGTTTTATTTATTTATTTAAATGATAAAACAGTAGCCGGTTGTAGAACAAATTTATGCACGTTGCTCTTCACACCTTCCACAGTCGGTACGTCATTGTCGTCATCACCCCTCCATATAATTGCTATTGAATTGATGACAAATTCGCTTACGGCTATCAGCCAATCAAAACAATGAATTCGATTGAATAAATTATGCAATTTGCAGTTGAGCTTAGATCGGCAAAGTTTTTCCGTTTAGAGAGCAACATTTGTGATGTAATCTGAGCATGTTGTCTAAGCACTTTCGACCAATCATAGCGAACAGATTCAAATTCCTTTGCTGTGATTGGTGGAAAATCCTTAAATCTCTCATGAAACATTCTCATTTTCGCTAGACAACATTGGAATTTGTCTTTGGTAACTTGTAAGTTTCAACGATTAAACTATCTAGCTAAACTTCCTGTCTCTAAGCTCAACAGAAAATCGCAGTAAGGCCAATGAAAATTGATATCATGTTTCTCGTCCCTGCCCACATGGGATATTTATCTGCCCCACGAAAATTTTTCATTCATTATTTTTGAAAAATAGGCTTAACAAAACACCAAATTGATCTCCAGATCAAAGTCTTATTGCTGCATTCCGCAAGCGCAACTCAAATTGTATCTTTCTAAAGATATTACTCGCCAAATTGCCTCTATTTTTCATGTCAGCCCTGGTATTTTTGTAAAATTCCTCGCCTCCAGAGTACGTATCTACGAAAAATCACTCGTATCGATATTTAAATAAAGTTTTAATGATATATCTTCGCTATATATCGGTAATCTCACAAAAACTCTCTCTGTCAACAACAAAAATTATTACGCTATATAAGCACATGTAAATGCAGCCCTACTATTGGCTGAATTATAGCAGTTTACTTCCGGTCACGCGAGTGTTCGTCACAATCTCCGACACACTCCCCCATATACATTCCCAGGGGGATGTATATTATTTCACAGTTTAGCCAATAATAATTGTTTTGCAACTTTCCTACTTTAACTCAATGTAAATATAGATTAAAATCTGCGTGTTCGATTTGTTCATATGTTCATATGTCGCCTTCTTCTGCCATCTCTTGAATACGTATACGCGCTGCTTCGCCAGCTGCTCTGCTCGGTCGAGGTTCAAACTTTGGTGCTGCAGCATTCAGCTTCGTCGGTTTCTTTGAAAACTCGTCACAACTCAGTTCCATGGGATATAAGTACTGCACCGGTCTTTCCAGTACCCCGTTCTTTGTCTTGAGCCGCACAGCTCTCACGACTCCGTCCTTGCCAGGAAAGGTTTCTTCGACCACAGCTAAAGGCCACACTCCCCGATTCTTGTTGTCGCTCAACACTATGACCACATCTCCAGATTTGGGACAGAACTTCGTTCTCGCATGAATCATACTATGTCTTTCTCTCAGTGCCGTTAGATATTCCCTCTTCCAACGTTTCCACAGGTTGTTCTTGCAGGCAAGAAGGTACTTAGCACGTTTCCTAAGATCATGACTTTCGATTCTCCATGACTCTTCGATGGGTAGATGGTTTGAACGTTGGTACAAGAATGTAGATGGGGTTAGGGTTGGCAATTCCACATCGTCCTCCATGTATGATAAGGGTCGTCGGTTTATCTGTATTTCGATATCTAACATCAGTTCAGCTAGTTCGTCCCACGTCAAGAATCCTCCTCCAACAACCTTGTACATTGCCGACTTTACCACTGCGATTAACCTTTCAAATTGGCCGCCCCACCACGGGGCGCGGCTGAGATTGAACTTCCATGTTATCTCGTATTCCTCGACTAGCCCACGTATTCGTTCATCCTTACGTATTTGCTTTAACCAGGCACTCGCCTTCACGAATGTTCCACCGTTATCAGAATATATTACTCGCGGGCGCCCACGGCGGGCGATGTACTTCTTCAGGCTTACGAGAAATGTGGGCGTCTCGAGGTTTTGCAGAAGCTCCAAATGAATGGCTCTTGACAGGCTGCAAGCGAATATTGCCAAATATGCCTTTCCTTCGGTTTTCGCCGTTTTCTTGTATTTCACTGGTCCCGCGAAATCTATACCGACCACTTCAAAGGCAGTTCCTGGATTAGTTCTGTCCTTTGGTAGAAGTCCCGGAACTGGTACGGTTGCTGCTCTCACACGGAATCTTTTACAACCCCAGCAATCACTGCGTACTTTCTTAACTAAACATCTAAGTCGAGGGACCCAATAACACTCTCTCACCGCGGCCATGGTAATCCCCACTCCCCCGTGAAGCGTTTCACAGTGTACGCGCTGAATTAGCTTCTTTGTAAATACTGCATCATGCGGAAGGTAAATAGGATAACTTCCCTGGATTCTCCCTTTGCATACCATGATGTCACGTTCAGTTCGTTCGAGGCCTAAACGAGCGCTGGTTTCCGGGTATTGGGTTTGCCAGCTGTCCCGCAACTGTACTCGCTTGATCCACCATTCCTTTGCAGCTTCAACTTCCTCTGTAGCCAAGGGTCCGACTCTCTTATCTTGATATCTACAGTTGTGGATGAATCGGTTCATCCAGGCACAAATCCGCAGAGTTCTACGAAAGCTGGTTCGCCCAAGGATATCGTCAAATTCGTCAGATGCTGGTTCTGATTTGGACACACATAGGACTTCACGAATCACCTTCGCTTCTGCTTCCGCTTCAGGCGACGTCTGTAGCACTGGGTTATCTGGCCATTGAGAAGGATCTTGGAGCCATTCTGGTCCAGTCCACCATAGCTCTGAAGATGAGACTGTTCCCCCACGGCTTGCTATGTCAGCAGGATTATCGTATGTGGGCACATACCGCCACTGGACTTCCGGGTGCGCTTGGATTTTGGCCACACGATTGGCTACGAATTGTTTGTACATTCCATTTCCACATATCCAATGTAGCGCAACCATGCTGTCGGTCCATGCATGAATAGATGGCACTGGAACCTTCGGAAGGGCGTTACGAACATTTACTGCCAGGTTGGTGGCCATGTGTGCACCAACCAACTCTAACCTTGGTACAGTCAAGCTTCGCTTCGCTAATCTGCTCTTAGCCGTCACTAGTTGTTGAGTTGTCCCCGATGGTTGTCTGACAACAGCGTATACTGCAGCCCCAACACCTTGAATGGATGCGTCACCAAAGGTGTGCAGTTCGATTTCTGTAACTTCTTCTTGGTGATTCACGATTGATCTCGGTACCGTTTGTTCCAATGGTAAGGAGCGTTCCCATTTCACCCATCTTTCCAGGAGTTTACCGTCAAGGTTCACGTCCCAAGATATCTTTGCGTCGCACACGTCTCGGTATATTTGCTTTCCTTCGAGAGTCACCGGTGAAACCAGCCCCAACGGATCGTATACTTTCGCCAGCTTGCTCAATACCCCACGCTTCGTTTTCTGCACTTCATCGTCCGGAAATGTCACTGCTAGGGTGTCCTTACGTTTGTCCCACTTCAGCCCTAGTAGCTTAGTTTCACTCGATTTGACCATAAGTTGCTGCTTCGCGTAGGATTGCTCTCGGTGATCTTCTGGGGATGCATCATCTTCTAATTGTGGAATGTTTGAGTTCCATTTGTGAAGCTCAAAAGTGGCATCATGTAATATTTCCTTCGCTATCTCTCTCCTCGTCTGTACTTCTTGGACAGTTCTCCCTCCCGTTAACAGGTCATCAACATACATGCTACGGCGTAGCAGTGCAACCTCATCAGGATATCTGTCAGCCCATGCGTCGAGATGACTTTCAAGGACCCCTTCGAGCAGGTACGGTGATGGAGCTAAACCGAATAATACCCTCGCAAAACGAAATGTTTCTACCACGTCCATTTCACTTCTCCGCCAATGAAACCGCAAGGCATCTCTTTCATTTTCTCTCACTCGTATCTGTAGAAAGGCTTGACGAATATCTGCCGAAACCATTACAGGAAAAGCTCGTTGCTGGATCAGGACATCCCAGAGCTTGTTTTGCAGGGATGGACCGCTGTGCAGGCATTCGTTCAGGGATGGACTGTCCGGCGTTGCACGTGCTGAAGCATCGTATACTATACGTAATTTGGTCGTCTCCGACTTTTCCTTGACAACACACTTGTGTGGTATATAGAATTCTTTATTCACTGGCATGTCCGGTGCCTTTTCCACAATCCCTGCTTCCACTTGTTCACGAATTATATTGTCATATTGCTCAGTCAAGCCATCACGTTGCAATTTCTTGGTCAAACCATTCAGGCGATGCAGGCTTCCGGTCTTGTTCGAAGGGAGTACCGGGTGAAATACTTGTGACTATGACTTGTTCTTCGCAAATGGCAAACATGCATGTCGTTTTCTGCCTGGTTTCCTTTTGCTCGTAACTGTCGTGTTCAAGTCATGTTCGACGATGTGAAGTCGGCATATTTGCTGTGCTTTGCTGATGTACTGGATGAAAATCAGTCTTTTCTGATTGTAGAAATATACCAATACTCTACAGTATTACATCGGCGACCTTGATATTTTCGCGACCGTTACACGGTCAGAAATTGCGGCCACAAATCGATAACTAAGATGAGCTCATCTAAACAGAGCATGCGTAGATTGTACATGCTGACGTGTATACTGAGTAATAATGAGGCGAATACTTAATTATTTCAAGATATAGTCGGTAAAGTTGTTAAATTTTTGGTAGAATTTTGAAGTTAAGAAAAGGCTAAAGGCCCCAAAACAATGTTAGGTGACTCAGAAATAATTACGAACACTTTAAACTTACAACTTGAGCTTTATTTTGTTGCAACATATTAAAGTAAAGCAAAACAAAGAAGCACGCGAAATTTTTTTACTTGAGCCCACGATGCCATGCAACGAATACTCGGCGACATAATCTTTCTCTGCGGAATTTCTGATTGATTGTGAAATGCAGGCCGTGAAATCAAATGTTTATGAAACGAGTGTTTATAAAACGAAACTTTTACTCCATTTTTTATTGTTTTGCTAAAAAGTACTGGTTGAGTGATGAAGAATGACGTTTACAGTTTTTTCATATCTCACTCATTCCTCAAGTTATCGCACTTTCTATATTTTTGAGATTGACATGGTGTTGTACGTGCTTCCCGGGATGATGGATTACAGGTAGCAAGCATTGAATGAATTTGATTTTCAAGCTTGCAGATTGATTTTTACCAAGCGCCTCAATAGCACACGCAGCCTTATTCGCAGCCGATATTTTCTATTTTCTTACGCCTATTTTAGGAGAGATCTTATGATCATGCAGTGCAAGAGTCTCTGTTTGTTGAGTGAGCTTATGTACCTTCCAAATTCTGTGCAATCCGTGGTTCAACTTCTGAGTGACATATTTCCTATTATAAGATGCTTCACCATCACTATCGTCTTCATGTGTTTGCATCAAATCATCATGTTGTTCATGCCACTCCATTACTTCATGGTAATTCGACATCACTTTCCACAGGGTCTGCAAGATATTTATAGCATGTGTTCTTCAATTCATTTGCCGGGGATGGGATATTATGGAATAAATAAATCTGAGTATTAAATATCGCAGTTAATAGAAGAGATGATTTAGAAACTCATTAGAATTCAAAAATAACTCATTATCCATGTTTTTGTTTGGGTTTATTCAGAAATATGGTCCTTCATCATCACGTGTGTATTGTATCTTCGCCCAACCAACCAACCAATAGCAATGTCTTAGGAAGGTTAACTATCCGTGACCTCAACACTAGTGATTAATTGGGTAGCTTAAAAATTGCTATTGGTGGATTTGGCAAAA